GGGAAATTCAGTTAAAAAGTCGTTGCTGGATCAACCTTTCTCATTGGTGAGGACCAACTGACAGTTCTTAAATAACTGTCAGCAGCAACTGGTAGGCTAAGCCCCACCCACGTTGCCAGGGCAACCAGGCTTGCTGAGCCTGGCCCAGCCTCCCTAACACCAGTCGCCACTGGGTCCAGTCAAGAGAGGAGGGCCAGGGAACTGCTCCCCTCCCTGAGGCAGGAAAGAGGCTTGAAAATGGGGGGAGAGGGAAACAGGGGGTCCCTCAAGGGCTTAGGGAGCCAGGGTCCCCTAAAGGCAGGAGCTTCCTGAAGCTCTATTTCAGAAAGCGGGTCAGAAGGAGGCTCAGAGCTGCTGCCAGGCCTGGGAGGGGCAGCCATCAGAGGCCATGGATGGGGAGAAGGTTCTGCTCAGTCCTGAGGGGAGGAAAGCTGCCCCATGGGCCCCCGGCTGGGGCAGGCCCAGGTTTTACATGAAAAGGGGTAGATGAAATAGCATGGGGCATGGGGCAGGGGGATTCGGCAAATGCTTCAGACTGACCTATATACAGATATTAAATATAATAGAACCAACACTAGTTAAAGGAATGGGAAGGTAGTGGAGAGGGAGTAGAGCAGGGGTCCTCAAACTTTTTAAACAGGGGGCCAGTTCACTGTCCCTCAGACCGTTGGAGGGCCGGACTATATTTAAAAAAAAACTATGAACAAATTCCTATGCACACAGCGGCGGCAAAAACACCCGGAGGGCCAGATAAATGTTTTCGGAGGGCCTCATGTGGCCCATGGGCCCTAGTTTGAGGACCCCTGGAGTAGAGGAAGAAAATGCCAAGTACTAGCCTAAGGAGGCTGGAGGAACTCACTGCACAGAATGTCGCTCTGAGCTTCCGGGCAGGTGGGTGACTAGACTCTGACTAGTAGAAGGAAGCATCAGTACCAGTTTTTCAGGAAAGGAAAGTGATTTCCCGACTCCTGAGCAAGGCAGCAAGCCACAGCCGCCTATTTCTCAGCATCTGTAGAGAGGGGCACTCTGATATCAGAGATGATAGTGAGGGGTTCGGAATCAAGGAGAGGAGGTAATTGATTAGAGATTATTACCTTGAAGCGAATGAAACTTAACTTCAGGACCCCACCCTCACAGGGCCTCTCTTTGAGTTCCTGTCCCTTTTTCTGTCCATCCAGAGAAGACCATATAGATCTGTGGGTTGTTTGCTTTCATTGATTTTTACAAATTCAAATCAACTCGTGGATACAGTTAGGGATTTCGAAACAAAAACAAAAGTGGCGAGTGCTCTCCTAACAGCGTTGTATGTTGGGAAGTTAGCACCTCTCTACCGGCCACAGCTGCTGGGAAGGAGCTGACGGGGAGCTCTGGGAGCGCTGGGAGCACAGGGAATAAATGCCTCATGAGCTGCTGTGGAGGGCCGCAGGGTGGAGGGCTGCAGGGTGGAGGGCTGCAGGGTGTGTGTGTACTGTAATTTTACACATGTACCTAACTCTTGCATATGTAATGTATAGAGATTTTGATACGTTGCATAGAGTATAAGACACAATATAATAATTATACAATTTACATATGTCTATAATTTTTGCATTGAACTTTTGAGAATTTGAAGACATCCAAATATTGGCCGCTGAATACGTCAGCCCATGTTTCCTAAGAACAAGGGCATTCTCCTACATCACAGCCCCATTGTTATCACATTTGGGAAACTTAACGTTGATAAAACAACACTATCAAATATACAGCCCATATTCAAGTCCGCCCCCCCCCCGCCCCCACACACACACACACAGGCCTGGCTGCTGTCCTCTCCCTCCCAGCCTACCCAGGATGTCCTGCTGGGATGTGGGCTCACTGGGGGTGAGATGCCAGGTCCGGAGCTTGTACTTCTCCTACTTGCCCACCTCCTTTCACAGCTGTTGTACT